CATTTCCTACAACTTTTGAATATGCCTTGTCTGACTAATCAATACCCAGACAGATAGACGTCCTCGCTCACAAGCCAAGAATGAACCAAAATGACAACATTTCCTATTGGAACATGTGGAGGCTCCTCCATATCACAGCCAATTAGTGTCAGTGAAATGTGTGGGAGAATGATGTGATCATATTATTTGCTTTATAAAAGCACACAGTTATATATCAGATGCTAGATCCCAGTACAGGAAATGGTAGAGATTTCATAATCTTTCAATATCCTCTTAAACAGCAATAGAATGCTTTGAAGTCTTTTAAATGTTAAGTATTAGTGTGTTTTTTACTGTGGTTAAAGTCTCCAGCCACAAAAAAAACAGCTTCCGGATCCGTTAGCATGGGGAGCATTGGATCAGCGTTCTTGTCGCACTCCCCGTCAGCACGGACTCAGTCTCCAACCTTGTTCAGGTGTTGCGGATGATCCAACCGGCTGACCAAATTTCAGGAATGAATCTCGGTCACCAACTGAAGGCCCCAGCACACTGGGGGACAATGCCTTTCAAGCCATTGGATCGGTTCTTCGAGTTCTACAGCTGAACGTCGAAGGTCTCTCAGCAGCTAAACCAACTCTCATCAGCAGTTTGGCAAGTCGCTATAGTGTTGATGTACAGTAGTCGGTCTTCAGGAAACACACGTAGCAAACCAAGTAGCAGGACGCTACACCCTTGGAGGAGCCAACATCATCTCGTCAACACCAGATGCTAAACATATGTACGTTCGGACGTCACCGATGCGTCTCTGATCTCTTCTTCTACTTTCTGTGACGTGGTCCAGGTTGGAGGTTTTAGGATCGCAAATGTGTACAAACCACCTAGTGAACACTGGGACCAGGGCATGCTTGAACTTTTGAACACCCTGCAGTGTATGCGGGTCACCACCCTGGATGGGGTTACTCCAAACCAGATGAGGATGGAGAAAAGTTGGTGGAACATGTAACCAACAATGGTCTCACATTGACCCATGATGCCAAGCAACGCAGGACCTTCCACTTGGCAAGATGGCAGAAAGACTACCCAAAGCACCTTTAAAGAAGGAACACAGACGTCAAGTGCAAGACGAGTGGCGGCTGTACTGCCGCCAAAAGACAGGTGGACTAAACAAATGCAGCTCTTGGAGAAAACAAGCAAACGGACTACCACAAGGTTCGGTCTTATCCCCAAGCCTCTTCAACCCCTACATCAACGATATACCATTGACCAAGTCTCGCAAATTCATCTATGCCGATGATATTTGCCTCAGAACCCAAGGTCACACATTCAATGAGGTAGAGTGTGCAGAACAAAGGCATGGAGATGATGGTGGAGGACCTCACTAGGTGGTGTCTTCAGCCAAGTGCGACCAAAACTGTCTCCAGTGTCTTCCACTTCCACAGTGCAAAGGCTTACCAGGAACTCAGTATCTACCTCAAGGGTTGGCGTATTAAGCACGACCCGAATCCAGTTTACCTGGTAGTGACCTTGGATAGATCGTTGACCTACCACGAATGCTTGATGAGGACAGCAGCTAAAGTCAGTACTCTGAATCATCCTCTTAGTAAACTAGCAGGTATAAGTTGGGGTGTAAGGGCTCAGACACTCTGTGCTATTCAACAGAAGAGTACTGTGCTCTGGTCCAGATCATCCCACGCCAAGCTGGTTGACATGCAATTTAACACGTCTATGCGTACCATCACTGGAACGCTGTGTCCTATTCTGTCACGGACGTCCAAAGGGACTAACCGTGGGGAGCAGGAGAGCGGAAAAAGACCCATATGGGTAGCGGCGAGATGGGAAAAAGGCCCGGGCTCATTAGTGCAAAGAGTTCAGGAATGCCGTATAGAAACCTATGGCCTCAGGGAGCGGACGTGAGGCGCCCTGGTGCTAGGCGGGTCTCAGGACATCCGAACGTCAATGCTGAGCGAGGACAGAGTGCAAGACCTGGAAATATATAGACCAAGGGAAAGAGAGGGACAGGAAGGACAGCAGACCGGAAACTAGGGACAGGACAGAGAAGGAGCACTCTCTGGCTGCAGAGGGCGTGACAATTTCACTATCATGGCTACCGGCACTCAGCAGCATCTCACCGTCAACCCTACATCCACAGGAAGCTACTGCCAAGCTGGTGGCCAAAGTCTGCGCGAATTGTAGGTTATTGCTTCACGCGGACATTGTGTTTCATCCAACAGCACACCTGTCCTCGAGACGCCCAGTCTGGTTGGACCCACAGCCAGGGGACATGAGGGCTGATTCGGCTTGGAGTGCTGAGTGGTCAACAACAGATGTTGTGAACCACTCCACCCTGGCCGAGCCATCTGCCTGTCCTCTTGGCTTCAACCTACCGCCACGACTGTGGACAAAGTTGAGCCCATTCCGGACAGGCCAGGGTCGCTGTGCAGTCAACCTTGTCCGATGGGCTCAGGCAACTGACCCAAAATGCATTTGTGGTGCACTACAGACTGTCACACATTGTGAACAACTGTCTGCTGACGCGCTTCAGTGGTGGACTGTCGGCGTTACACCTCGCTGATGATGATGCTGCTTGCCGGCTCGTGATGCAGTACAAATGCTAAAGAAAAAGAAAGAAGCATTAGCATGCGGGTGAATGTACACAGCGGTCATAAGAACAGCCGTAAATTCCCTCGTAGGTAGAGAGGGCGACATTTTATAGTGAGGTACTCCAGATTAGATGAGAAGGATCTGTAGGATCTGAGAAGTTCTACGTCACTGCACCAAAGGTTATTAATCATGAAACACACTCCAACTCTTTTCTCCTTGCCGGTAGACTCGTCTGTGCGGTTCCCTCTATACAGCGTGAATCCAGCGGGTTGCACAGTGGCATCGGGAACGTTGGGTTTCAGCGAAACAGAAGACACAGCAGTCGCTCAAGTCGCGCTGAGTGTTGATGTGACAATGAAGTTCGTCGATTTTACTGTCCAGCGACTGCACATTTGCAAGCCGGATGCTGGGGAGCGGGGACCGGCAGACATGCTGTAAATTAAATTACGCCTTGCACTTTATGTACCCTGTACCCTGTCAGAAATCTCTATGTCTACATTGTCTATAGTATTGTCTTGTGGGTGTCTTGTCTGTATTCGCACCGTAGACTTGGAGAACGATATCTCGCTCCTCTGTATACTTATATATGGCTGGAATGACAAATAAACTTGAACCTGAACTTGAACGCTACCAGAGCCGTGCTAACACGCCGCTTCTCTAACCTCACTTCATTTTGCGTTCGTGCCCGTTTGCTCTGTGCCTGAGAAGCAAAGCCGTCTACGTTCAATTCCACTGAAGCTAGATGCAAAGATCTGAATCTCACGTCAAGGTGTGTTTGTCGGTCCTATGTAATGGTTGCACACGCATTTGTTTGTACATAAATGAGACATAACACGTAAATAAACGAGAGAGCTACACGCGAGACGTCGGCGTTGTAAAAAAATAAAATAAAAAAAAGACGTCGGCGTTGAACGGCGCCATCTTAAGGTTGCGGGCTTGCATCTTAAGGCTTGCTTTCAATAGGGCAGCATAGTGGTACAGCAGTTAGCATTCCTCCCTTATAGCGCTGGGGGCCTGTGTTCAGTTCTTGACCTGGGGTGCTGTCTGTGTGAAGTTTGTATGCTCTCCCTGTGTTTGTGTGGATTCCTTCCCACAGTGCAAAAACGTACTGGTATGTTAATTGGCTTCTGGGAGAACTGGCCCTGTTGTGAGTGTGTGTGTCTGTGTGTGCCCTAGGATGAACTGCTATCTCCTGCAGGGAGTATCCCACCTTGCACCTGTTGCTTGCTGAGATAGGTTCTGTGTCCCCTCCAACCCTGAATAGGAAGAAGTGGATAGAAAATGGATGGAATATTTTTTTTTTATTATTATTGTTGTTGTTTTCTATCTATAAATTTTCTATTTAATACCTGTGTTTAAGGGTACAAAGTCTTTGGACAAGACTATAATCTGGTAATTTTTTATTTTCTTTCCAGAAACATTTAATAATCACAGAATAGTGTAAACAGTTCACTATACTGATTCTGTAGCAATATTCCTTGTAAGACCAAAAATATCCACACAGAAATTATCCGTAGATTACACTACTGTCATGCTACTGTACCTTTATTACCACCACCCCAATTTGTTCTTTTGTACATTACACAGTCGAATAAAACATATTCCATCCTAAATGTAGGTGCACTTCAATGTAAGATTAATTTAGTGTCAGATGGGCCAAATGTGTTCTACTAGTTTGTACCTTATTTTCTTCTTACTTTAGTAGTGTTAATGAGCCATAGTTGCAAAGGCTATTGTAAGTGCTGTAATGTTTTGAGCATCAATTAGCAAACTTTTCGATTCTCTACAAATGCAATATGATTTTACAATCTACTGCAACTAAACCATACAAAACATATTTTTATATAGTTCACACCGTCTACTATTATGGATTATTCTCCTTGAATGTTTCACCCCACTCGCACATTTAATTAAAATGGGAATTCAAATATTCTACAGTTAATCAACAAAAATATTCAGACGTGTTTCTGATATATACTGTACATAATGACAACTTAAAGTACAATTTCAAGAGACAGATCTGTTGAGCAAATCTCTAAAGCACAAATTTATTTTAAGAAGAAGAAGAAGAAGAAGAAGAAGAAGAAGAAATGCATTTTTATTGTACAGCTTTTTATTTCGAACAATCTCAAAGCGCTTAAAATACTTCTTACCGGATAAAAGAAAAAACAAAGATACCGGAAAGATAGCGAAACACGAATTGGAGCATTGAGGAACAATACAGCATCAGTACTGGACGTTATTAAAGAGCTACAGTACGTGATAAACGTAAACTACCGTTATGTTATACATTAATCTGGAATAGGGAACGGTTTAATTTTAAATTAAAACGTGCATTGAATAGATTTGGCTGTGCACAAAATGCTTTCTTGTACAGCAGCTGTATGCAGTAATACATACAGTATGTGGCTCTATGCAATCAAGGTAATCACCTCGGTTGCGAATCCAGGTATTACCTGTAACAAACGCCACCTCCAACTCACAGTCGGGAAAAAAAAGTCGAAGAGGCTTTTCCCTCCGTGTGCTGCGCTGCTCCTCCTCTCTGAAGCCCAACGAATCTCCAGTTACCAACCTCGCAGACACCGGCTCACGTGGTCGAGATCCGGCACATTTTAAAAGAAGGGACATCTCCCTCTTTTCTGAGGAATGGGGTGGCAAACGTCCTCCTGGTGCTAGCTAGCGATCCAGGTTTCCACGCACAGTGTAGACCTGCAGTATATGTACCTCAACACCAGCAGCGTCTTGTCATCTCTTCTGCAGCCCAGACCCCTGCCGCTCCCCAGCAGTGCCAATCGCGAATCACGGCCGCACTGTTGCGCTAGGCATACTTTGTCATCAGATAAACTGAAGTTCTTAAGAAATATTAGCTGTCGTGTCTCCACTCTCATTATTTTTTAGAACTATGGATATCGGTGCCAAAACCACAGTTCAAGCCGCAGTTCTGTTCTATGTGATTTCCAGCAATTTGTTATGTCCAGTGGGTGCTTACCTCTACAATAACCGGTATGCGGGGTAAGTAATATTTTAATTATTGCATTTTATTTATGACATTAGAGGTAAGCTGATTTCATTAATTTAAAATGTACATGAAACTTCTTTGTAAGTCTGTTTATTTGCCTGCTTTACAATAGAAAACAGCATTTGTGGTATTTGTAATACAGTACTTCTTCAGTGATACGTAGTTTTTGTATCTGCTCATATTTTTGTAATTTTCCATGGTTGACAAAAGTCCGTACTAGATTTTAATCTTCAGAAAAAAAGACACCACTAAAATGGTCTCCCCCTCCCCACCCCACACACACACACTTTCACAAGGGGGTATATCATTTTGTAATGTATCCAGAAAAAAAATGTGATGATAGTTTTGCACACATTTCAAATTTTGGTCTCATCAAATCGTAATACTTGATTATATGTTCCAGTGCCAGGTTTGTGTGATTTCTTTGCAAAGTTCATATTCAAATTTATTTTGAGGCCTTAACATTGGCTCTTTTGCTGCAACCCTTTCATTAAGACCTGTAGCGACCAGCTGTCTTGTAACTCTGTTAGTAACAGTGCAAGGGGAGATATTGACATTCGCGTTGGTTACTATCTCAGCTGACAGCTGCCTGCTTGCCTTTCATCTTTTCTACAAGCTCAGTAACTTTAATTGCTGGCTTTGGTTTGCGGTTCTTTAGTGTGCTCTTCTTTGACTTTTGTGTTTTTGGATTATTCCTTTTCTCTGAAAGGCAGCGTACTTTGTTTTTTTCCATTATAGAAATCCTCAGCTTCGACCATTGTGTTGATGTCTTCTTTAAGCGTCTGCTTATCATTTGCTTGTGTGAATTTTCTTTCTTGGATGCCATATGTAATGTAATTTGGTGGTTTTAGAGTCATTAATTTTAAGTAACTCCCATTTAAAATGTATTTTTTATGAGACATTTGTAGTGGCATGTGTGACGTGTAGCAAATACCTCCATAAACATGAAGTATTTTCATAAAACAATTTAAACATGTTTTTACTTGCTACTGAAATGTACAACATGTCAAGTGAACAACATATACAAGTGTTTTATTTTCATATACATTAACTGCATTACAGTATTTGACATAATGTCACACAATTATAAAACAGAGAGCTGGCCCTTTCAGACAGCTGTGTGCCATGAAACAATTAAATTTTAGTTCACCCACAAACAGAACCACAGAAAGTATACCCCAGTATGTCTTTTTGCAGGCTTCACGGTTTAATTCCTTCACATATTCAAAGTTTGTTTGTCATCCAGCTGAAGTAAGGCTGGAGGGACTATCTGAAATCAGATACTGTTTAGAACATTGCAATTTACAGTATGAAAGAAACATTTACAAATCTTACAAAAAAACTCATACCAGCCATTGACACCTGTTTTCAAGGTTTAGTGTACAGTATGTTGTTCTGTCAAGATATGTATTATATTATACAGTGCATTAGATATTTCTTAAGTTGAAAAAAAGAATGTTTTTGCTGACAGGAATTTTTCTTTTGAGGGTTGTCAAAAACAATGTTGGAGTTGCATTTAAAACATTTGTCGCTCTGTTTTAGTAACTTGTGTTATTGTTGCATTCATTATGTCATAGAAGTTAGCTACTTAAAACAGTAGCCATGTAGATATATTTCAGGTAGTTTTTTATAGTCGGTAAATATTGTCTAAAATATTTGTTCTTAGAAATATTCCATCACCTGTGTACTGTAGTTTAAAAACTAACACTGAAGTTTCCACATCAATTCTTTCTGTTTCAAAACAGTTTAGTATTTACATTTTTTGTATCATGTTGTTAATTCAGTGAGAACTCTTTATATAACCAATATTTTGATACAGTTTTCCAAAAACCTGCAGCTAATGAAGGTTAGGAAAGAGATTTCTTGAAAATGGAATCAGACTGAATTATTTTTGGTTTATTTGGTTTATTAGTGTTCCCTCGGTGTAATAGAACGAGTTGATTCTATTCACATACGTCTCAATCATTTGTTTTAAGCGGATATGACACTAACCCTTTGTATATCATCTGGTCTCACCGACTCGGTGTGTTCCACTGGGTTCTGTCCTGGAAAATTTACTATTTATATGATGCCTCTTGATCAGGCTATTAATTATTGTGGATGTGGACTTCACAGCTATGCCCATGATACTCCATCAATTCCTTGATGGAATTAGGAAAACCCCAGGGTGTTACTTTTCACTCTGGACTGTCATTTGAAGGCATGTTACAAATGATACAAGGACTTCTTTCCTTCAACCTGCATAACATTAATAATGATATTGAATAATAATAAACTCTATTTCATATTGCGCCTTAAAAAATGGCTTCTCAAAGCTCTTTACATTAAGAAAAATGTAGGAGTCAGCAGAATTACACAATTACAATAAGAGTCTGGAATACGATAGGAAAGCAGTAGGACATACACATAGCCTGATGCTGAAATACTGATGATGATGATAATAATAATAATAATCAATAAATCGATAAATTCCTTCATTTCTTCTATGGTATTAATTTGGCTTCAGTATGAATATACTGTAGTGCTGAACCATATGTGTCGAATGAAAGTACTGTACATCAGGACATAACTCATATGTGGTTCCCTGTGAAATCGAGACCTGGCTTTAAGGCTCTCCTGCTCATGTACAGACATTGAATGGATAATTTAAGGGTTTACTGCAAGAGTTTAATCCATTTCATAATATGAGATTAGGATCTGTATTATACTCTTCTTACTTCTAGCCCTCATACCGTAATAGAGACCATGCTCCACATTGTGGGCTATTCCGACGTCTTGTGTGCAGCACACATACTATATGCAGAGCTCGGCCCAAATCCACAGATTCTGTGACTTTAAAACTTACTTAAAGCTCTTTCTCCTCCAGTATATATAGAAAAGTGTATTAGGATTGAAAGCATTTCTGTTCTAGCTTTTCTGTGAAAAATATCCTGGAGTGTTAATGAACTGTTTCATTAATTAATTCAAAGATAAATCTTTTAAATTCCTCCGCATTATTTTAGTTTATGGAGAAATTGTTCTACCTCCTGCATAAACTAAAGCCATCTTAGATTTTGTCATAGGTTGGGCTTTGATTAAGAATGGTTTGAAGTCAAGGGTCCTGGGAAATATTAAAGTAAAGGAACGGTAAGGTTTGGTTTTAAGTTTTGGCAAATGTTAGACACACTGTACAGTACAACTTTTTCGTGTAAATAGGATTGGTTTAGATTACATTTGATATAAGATTGCAAATAAGGTTTTGGTGCCGTGATTAATGTTGTGTGTAGCGTTAGGAATAGAATTTAAGTACAGTTAGTTTTATTTTATAATTTGGTTAAGCCTTAGTGTTGAGGTATGCACAGACAAGGATTTCAGTTAGCTTTACAGTAGTTAAACTAAGGGGCTGAGGTCAATTTAAGGGTTTAGGAATAGTTAATTGTACTGTTGTGAGCATATGAGGTTTATGGTTGTATTGACATGTATGTACTGTAGAGACTCGCTGTTAGCTTATGTTTGGAATTCATTTTTGACTGAGACCTACAGTTAAATATACTGTACTACTGTTGAGGCTGAGATATAGCAATGAAAAAGAACATGTACTGTATAGGACATTTTCAACATTTCTTTTCTTTACAACAGTTACACTTATCAAAGACAAAATTCTGTTCATACATTTTGTGTCCTTAGGTTTACTGAAGAGATAAGGCAAGACTGAAGATTACTGGTAGGGGGTCCAGTTTAGCCTGTTTCTCTTATTTTGTTGCTAGTATTTTCTTGATCACAGGACTTCATTGACCTCGTTCTTGGGGTATTCTTTTAGAAGGGAGAGTCACACAATGCACCGAGAACAGGGACAATTACCTTTTATCCTTCAAAGGTTTGACTTGGATACACTATTATTGTTGTCTTTTCTGACTTTCCTTTAATTCAACAGTGTCAGGATTGTGGTTATTATGTTCCAGATATACTATATTTTGATAATATCAAAACAAATCTAACCTTTTGCCCAAGCTTCGGTAAAAGTGCTTATAAAGAAAAAAATCCATTCTCAGAAATCTTAGAATTAGATTGTTTTTATAGATCAGAACATAAGAAATAGGGGAAAGCACTGGAATTCTGCAAGTTAGGACTGATGTTTAAAATTCCAAAAAGAAATATGGGCAGTTTGTGGGCTTTTAAACCTTATCCTTTAAATGTTCTTTTTTTCAGTGTTGCTCCATCATTGCATAAAGCACTCTGGAGTGCACTTAACGAAGTGTACGCTGTACTTCAGGGTTAGATTGTGAGATCTTCAGGAATTTTTATATGATTTGGTTTGGTTTGAAACATTGTGATGTTATCGAGGGATAATGTAAGATGTGTTTTATTTTAACTATGAGTCACAAAATTAGAGCATTCAGTAAAGCAAGACATAAATGTTTCAAGGATGCCCATTGTTACGCGCAAAAAAAAAATCAGAAACCTGCAACTGTGACATCAGGGTGCCAAGGTGTCATCAGGTTTAAAAATCCTCTTTTAATTAATTTCCCACTGGAATCACTGCATAGTTGGTCGTTTTGTGCTGCATTCTCCATGGAACTCAGGGTCCTGTTGAACACCACTCTCACAACCTCAGCTAATGTGCGATTGATAGTGTGCACCAGCGGTCAGGGAAAACTTTCTGAACTTTGATCTTCAGGGTGTGCATTTGGTCACGGAGGTGAACTAGGTCTCCATCAAACCACAGAATATTTTTCAAGCCGCTTGTCAAAAAATTTCAATGCAGACCTGAACTTACTCCTTGGGTCAGCAGGAATCAGTTCCCACAGTCTTCATATTTTGTGTGGAAACAGCTTTCATGTCTCGCACAGCACATTCCTCACAGCTTCCTGGGGTAAGCTAATAGAGCTGGCAACTTGATAAGTGCTGCATTCTCCATGGGGATGGCTTTGTTGAGTTCACAGTGATGCCACTCGGTATCTGAAGTAACCTCGGCTGGCATGCCATACTCGTGGGTCTGTTGGGCCAGAGATGC